GGGAACCGAACTCACGACCTTGCGCTTGCCAGGCAGGCGCTTTGCCGCTGAGCTAAATCCCCAGCCCCTATAAAATATTTTTTAAAGTACAAAAAATATCAAAACTCAGTGTTTCCACACACCTTAATCCAACTTCCCCACAATAACCACTGATAAAATTCTATGACTATTCTATGCTTGCAAACATATATATACTTCCTATAAAAATTATCCTAAAAATAAAACATAACTTTGTACAACTGTCTTCCTTAATAGTACACCACAGATGTACTTCACTATAGGACAGACAGTACATTCAGTTTAAATGCCACTTAAGAGTTCTCTGATTTATCTGACTACAATAACTTATTCAACCACTTCTCAATTATGGACATTATTCATTTATTACTATTTTGTTTTCATTTGTTTGGTCTGAAGATTGAATCCAAGGCCTCACATAGGCTAAGCACATGCTCCACCAATGAGCTACAACCTCAGCTCCCATTACCTTTTTATTGCTAAAAATAATACTGCGGTGAACATTCTTGTACACATAACCTTCAACACATGCAGAACAAATTACCAGAAGTGAAACATTAAGAAACTGCCTTCGAAGAAAGCTGTTATTGTATGTCCCTACTAATGTATGAGTGCCTTTTCTTCATCTTCTCAATAATACTAGGTAATAAAACCTTTTAAATTTACATAAATTTGACTAGCAAAAAAGAAAAAATTGGTATCTTGTTATTCTTGTATACTCCAGATTAAAAAAACTCTGAGAAAGTTTTAAAAAAAAGTCTTTTGTATTTTTACTTACTATTTTTCTTAATTGATCATGTCCCTTGCACTCTTCACATTTTTATTTCTTTGTAGACTATATGTTACAGATAGTAATCTTTAATTATAATGCGCATATATTTTACATATATATAGGGTGTATGTATATGCGTATATTTAGAGGAGTATACTGTAAATATTTGTTTCAATTATATCCTTGTCTTTCAATTACGTCATACAAGAATGTATGTAGTATTAACGTAACCATACTTTTAAATCTGTAGTTTCTCTATTTTTGTCTTAATTAAGAGTCCCAAACTCAAACTAAGATTTTTTTTTTTTATGTGTTTATTGCGTTCAGAACTTTAAAGTCTGGAATTTATTTTTTCATATAAAACAACTTTTCTCAAATGAATAGTTAGCCTACTACATTTATTGATAATCCACCACTTGTTCATTGATTCAAATCCTTAATTTTTTTACACTGATATAGGCCAGCACCAGTTTAAATTACTTAGTTTTGCAGTTATTCATGATTGTACACTACTGAGTTCTACTGTTCAAAAATACCTAACTTCCCAGTTTCTATAAGTCTTTAGAGATTTTACTAGAAGTATGCTAACTTTATAAATATGGACATAAATGGATACTGTTATAATGCCATGTCCTTCCAAACATGATTTGACATTCTCTTTTACTCACTTCTTTGTCTCAGTAAAGCTTCAAACTCATACATATGTATATATGTATAAGCATGTATTTCTTGTCAGGATAAACAATGGGTTCTGAACAAACTGTGAATAAAATCTGCTAAAAGAAAGCTGTTGTTTTTATACATTTACTTTGTATGAAAACAAAGCAAATTCACTATTTGAACAATCTTTGGTTGATTTTCAGGAAAATAACCATATGTCCTACAAATTGCAACTTTGCTCTTTCCTTTAATGTATATATGATTTGACTTTCTTTTTAATCATACTGTTCAGAATCCCCAAATCCTGTCTAAAAATAAGGCACTAGACACCTTATTTCTCACATTGATGGCAACAAACAGATGTTTTAAGAAATTTTTAAATGTTTCCCTCCATTTCTAGCTTTCTAAACGTTTCAGGAAGCACAGCAATTAAAATATATCACACAGTGAAATAATACATTTTCCTTCGCCAATCAACATGATGAATTAACAGATTTACTAGTATTACAATTACACCTGTATTCCCTGATCATGATTTTTTTAGCACATGTCTAGACTTGGTTTTGTCACATTTTACTTAGGATTTCAGTATTTATTAAGAAACTGACATATTTTTTTTTCTGCTAATAATGACCAGTTTTAGTAACAGCAGTAACCTTACAGCTTAAACAGGGAAACATAGATCTCTTTTTTCATTCTGGGGGTCAGGGAAATACTAGGTCTGGCCATGCTGCCTGGAGTCATCGTGAACTCATGGACTAAAGTGATCATCTAAACTCAGCTTCAGAGTAGCTTGGACCAAAGGTACATGCCATCATGCCTAGCTTATCCTTTTAATAAACTTTTAGCATTGGAACTGTAGCTTAGTGGTAAAGTGCTTGTTCAGCATGGTATCTCACTCAGAAGCCCAGGTAGGCCTCAAATATTCTATCCTTTTGCTTCAGGCTCCCACGTAATTAGGTGTAAATGTATGTACATCTGACTTATAAAAAAATCTTTTCAGTAACAGGAAACTTGGGCCAAGGATATAGTTCAGTGGCACAAATGCCTGCCTGGCAAGCGCAAGGTCCTGAGTTCAATTCCCACTACCAAAAAAAAAGTTTCCACTATAAACAGGAAACTTACCATTCTAAATAAAAAATGTAAGTATAATATCATCTGAGGCACTCGGGTGGCTGAGAAAGAAGGATCACAGTGAGTTTGAGGCCAGCCAAGGCTATACAAGTGAGTTCAAGGTCAGCCTGAACAACATAGCAAGACCCTGTCTCAAAAAAACAAAACAAAAAAAAACACATCAACACAGCTGCATGCTGTGGTACATGCCCATAATCCCATTTACTCAGAAGACCGAGGCAGAAGGGCTAGAAGTGTGAAGCCAGCCTGAGCTACTTAGCAAAATTCCATCTCAAAAATGGGCCAATGCTACAGCAGATGTGACTTCACTGTAAGCTACAATTAGCAAAAAAGCACATTGGAATGAAGAGTGAATGTGTATGTATATGTGTTTAGGGGAATGTGCCTCTGGAAATTCCTGGTTTGAGCACTGATGCCAAAAACTCAAATAGGTTACTTTAGTGGTGAATCACACATACACTTGTGATATCACACTTATTCGTGGTAGCCTGTGATTTGTAATCCAAATGGAATTACTACATGGTAATATTGAAGAAACTCATCTGCTGTGAGCACTGATCGCTGTATTCTTATTTAAAAACAGAAATGGAGATTCTTCATGTTCCTATTTCTGGCAATCTTTCAATTATTTATCTATCAACCAAAGCCCACTCTAACTGACTCTAAACTTGGGAGTTTTTCCTGAGCTCTACTGGAAACAGAAGTATGCACATCTTTCATGACACACTATCCTAAATTTCATGAAGATATGGAGCATGTCTTTTTCACTCACAACTATCAATATCACTTAACAACTATTACTAATGCCTGGTAATCGATTAATGAATAATGAATGAAAATTTGATTTCACTATCAATTTGCTGTCACCTATTTTAATTTACTAAAACTCTTCTGGTGTTCCTCTAGACTTTCTCATTTTGGTATTATTTTTCTTTCATTTCAATATGAAGGTTAGTAAACAAATGCACTTAGTCAGATATTTTGAAAGAGATGTAGTTAAATACCCAGGAGCTTGATTTACTATGGTATTTGTCACTCACGCACAAAGTTTATAGTTCCTATTATACATTTTCCAGATGTAAAATAATACAGAACTACCTGAACTAATAAATTCCAAATACTCTTAAGTGTTGTTCGTTGCAAATGGACAGTCATAATCACTTGCAGCATTAAAACAAATCTTAAAATGTTAAGTAATCTATTATACTTTTCAAAACAAATACAGCTGTTGCTTCATACCTGGCCAGTACTGAAGACCTGAACAAATTCTCTGAAGAGTTCTTGGATATTGTTGAAACAAGCAAGAGGAACGTAAAGCATGAAACATATCTAAGTGACCTGGAGGGAAATTGCAAAAGGTAAGCTCCCTGATTTCCAAACCAAAAACACAAACATCACATGAAGTATTAAGAATTTTTATCAAATATTAGGCAAGTCACAATATAATGAGTTTCATAACCTTTTCTGTGATATGACTTTGCTTTCATAAAAATATCTAAACATTATTAATTTAATTACTTTAAACTGCAGAGCTCTTTATGTTACTGTCACTTAACAGCTAACTTTTACATCTGGCATATAGTTGCCAAAACTATATCAACAGAGGTATAAGGTATACATGTTTAAGCTAAAATTACTTTTAGAACACAAAGAGATAAGAAACTGCTCTTTCTTAGAAACAGCTGCAAAAGCTTTAGTGATGCAAAAAACATGCAAACCACAGCTACTGCTATTTTTCCCTTTTAAGGTTTTCATATCCAGTATGCAGAAAGTTCCTTCCAGAGTTGTAAGCCATGAATACTGTGATCTTTTCCAACTCCTACTATTTATTTATTTATTTATTTATTTATTTATTTTGGTTTTGGTTTTTTTCTGGTACCAAGAATCGAACTCACAACCTTGTGCTTGCTAAGCAGGTGCTGTGCCACTGAGCTAAATCCCCAGCCCCTCAACTCCTACTCTTCAGTAATGTTTTTAACCTATCTTACTTCTAAGATGCTAGGGACTTGATTGGCAGCAGCAACAACAGAAATAAATATAGTTATCATCGATGTGTTTCAGTTAGAATTACATATGCTGATTAGAAGAGCAGTAATAATGATAACAATAGAAAGTTTTCCCTCTTCAATACTTAATATAGGGCAAGCACTTTAAAAGGTTTTTTTCTGGTACCAGAAATCAAACTCAGGACCTTGCGCTTCCCAGGTAGGCCCTGGGCCACTGAGCTGTATCCCTGGCCGAAGAGTTTTATATAGACAATAAAAGAGGATTGTTAATCTAAGTCCCCAAGCTCAAAACCATTTTTTCCCTCCTCTTATATTCTTAATGTCTTCATATTGCATAAAAAGACAAAAGAAAAGAAATACCAAATGAATAAAGTTTATGTAAGGTATAGTTTCAAGTCAAACCATCATCAACTATTCAAACCTGTTCTTTTTTACAGGACTTTTATAGAATATACTGACTTTAAACATCTGCTTTTCCATTAATATGACAGAGAACTTTGATAAAGTTCCAATATTCCTTGTGTGCCATTCAAAAAGAAATCTAGACCCAGGCATGGTGGCACAGCCTGTAAACCCAGCACTCAGGAGGTTGAGGCAAGAGGATAGTTGAGAGAGTTCAAGGCCAGCCTGGGCTACAAAGTGAGTTCAAGACCAACCTGAACTGCAGTGAGACCTTATCTCAAAAAGACAAAAAAAAAAAAAAAAGAAAAGAAATTCAGGAAGCTAACCTGACATTCTTTTCAATAGACTGTAGTATAAGCCTATTTAGTATAATGTCAGGTTGTGACAAGCTTCAAAAAAAATGTAGACATCTCATAAAAGGAACTATAGCTATTTCTTTATCAATATATTCTCAAAGATTAGTATGTTACCTGGAATCTAATAAATGTATGCCACCTGAAGTTAAAATAAGGACACATTCTTCACTGGGTGTGATGGTGCACATCTGTAATCCCAGCACTCTGGAGGCTGAGGCAGGGGGATCACTGAGAGTCTGAGGCCAGCCTGGGCTAGAAAGTGAGTTCAAGGCCAGCCTGAACTGCAGAGTGAGATCCTATTTTGGAAAAAAATCATATTCTTCTAAATGTGATGTGATATACTATATTAGATCTAGGAACAGACTATCAACAGTAATGTCAAAAAAAAGTGATATAATTAAAGCAAATTTTGCTCAAAGCAAAACAATCTGTACTTAATTCAAAACATTCCAGGCCAAGTATGGTGGTGCACACCTTGTAATCCTAGCACTGTTGGGAGGCTGAGGAAGGAGGATCCCAAGTTAGAGGCTAGTCTAGACAACTCAGGAATTTAGCAAGATCCATGACTCAAAAAATAAAAAAGGTTAGAGACACAGCTCAATGCAAAGGTCCTGCATTCAATCCCCAGTTCCACAAATCAATAAACTATATGTTATATATTATGTTACATATAATATATGTATGTCAGTATGAATTTGTTTTAATGAATGTACCATGGTTAGGGAAGATGTCAAAATTAAGGGAAGCAGGTACAGAGTATATGAAAATTCTCTATACTATCTTTGAAGTTTTTCTGTAAATCTCACATTATTTCAATATGAAAACTTACCAGAAAAAAAAATAAATCCTAAAGAATCTGGTCCATAGTAAATGCTAATAAATATCTACTTTTTTTATAATACTTAAATGGCTTATTTTCATTAGAATCAAAAATATATGAACATACCATATTTATTTTCAAAGAAGGACTGTGCAGAGACGTGAGATGTATGCCAGTGGGAAGAAACACTTCTGCCTTTGCAAAATCCAGGAAGTAGATTTTCTACCAGTTGATCAATCTGTCCAATTTTTAATTCAGATAATCCAAGGTCCCTTAAATTAAGTGTAGGCTATAAAAGATTAAGTGAACCAAATAGTAACATTATTGAGACACTTAAAAGACCAGAAACAATTTTTTCAAATCTAAGAAATACAGTGGTTTCTTAATATTTAAAATACAATTGATGAAAATATTAAGTTCTAGTTTTACTGAGGTCAGTCATGTGAAGTTTGACAAATGCTGAAAAAGTATAGCCCTAATGGTACCCTTAAATAAGAAAATGACATTTTAGCACGAATGAGGAAAAATGCATCTTTTTATTCAAACCAAAATCATCACTGAACTAAGCATTATGATTCACAAAATGAAGTTAAGTGTTTTATATTTTTCCCTTTTCATCACACAACGTACTCTCATCTAGTGCTAGTCAAGCAACAATCAGCCAAACATTTATAATGACTGGGAATGCAGCTCAACAGCACAGTACTTACCTGGCACACTAGGATGCAAAAACAAGAGGAGGGCTTGCAGTGGGGGAGCAGGAGGGGAAGGGGAAGGCATGTAACAGGAAAAGTTAAAAGAGTTAAGTTTTGGGTTTTCTTTGTTGTAGTAATGAGAAATGAACCCAGGACTTCTCACTGAGCTGTGTCCCTAGTCCTTTTTTAATTTTTTGAGACAGGGTCTCACTAAATCTCTAAACTGCCCAGCTAAGCTTGAACTCGTAAGTCTCCTGCCTCAGCCTCCCAGTGTGCTGGGATCACTGGTGTGGCACTACCATTGGTGCCAGGAAGTTTTACTTTGTTATGCTTTGTTGCTAGTATTCTAGAGTGGCTGTTTGGATAAGCAGCCCTTGATGAAAACAAAGAAGCACCACAGAGCAAAGAAAGTAAGATTAAGTAGGATGCCCAGGAGTATGACAAGGTTTTGATACAATACAGTACTTGCCAAAGACAAATACAAAGACTAATGAGGTCCTTAAGAACATTGATTTTGTATTTCACACCATTCATCTTAAACTGCACACTGCCTTCTAGTTACTTTTCAAGCACCAAAAATGTCCTTTACCACCAATTCTGTAATTTCACTTGATAAAAATTTAGCAACAAATGATAGAAATAATTGTGTTTTTGGCAACAACAAGGAAATAATATCCAACACAATGCATCACAAAAAGTGAATACGGGGCTGGGGATTTAACTCAGCGGCAAAGCGTCTGCCTGGCAAGCGCAAGGTCGTGCGTTCGGTTCC